GGAACACGATGGACGCCGCCGCCATCGCCGCCGCCGTCTCCCCGGCGAGATCCGACCCGGGGCTGCTCTCGTCCACCCTGTACGCTTGCCGGGACGTCGTCATGTCCTCCGGCCGCTGCCAACAGTAATGGTCCGTATCCCCGTCCCCTACCTGCGTAATCGTACCAAACACGACAAGTACGCTCGAAATTGATTAAGTTGACATCGAATTTTTAAAGCATTTTGACCCCCCAAAACATTCCCCCTGATTAATTAATTAATAGCCAAATATTGATTAGAATTAATTAGTGATTTCAGTTGACTGACCTCGGCCCATAGGACGTTGGGGCTCGTGTGCGCCTTGACGAAATAGTCCGTGCCCCACTTGATCGCTTCCATCGCGTGCTCCAGCTCGCCGGCGGCGTCGATCTCGTCGCGGTACTCGACGACGCTCCACGACAGCATCGTCACCGTGAACGCCATCGGGAGCCCGAACTTCACGTGGTCGCCGGCGTCGTAGTACCCTCCCACCAGGTCCACCTGCGAAAAAAGGAACCAGGCGAAAAAACGCAAACGCATTGGACCCGGAACTCGGGGTTTAACGCTGCGGGCTCGCGGCATTACGACGCGGGGGTCGGGAGAGAGGGTGCCACTCACTCCTTGCTCGAGGCCGTCGGTGAGGCCGGAGTGGTCGCGCCACGCGACCCGCTGGCCGTGGGGGAGGCGGCCGGAGCGCTGGGACTCGAAGTAGAGGAGGCTCTTGGCGAGGGCGTCGGAGTAGTCGAAGGCGCCGGACGCGGAGGCGCAGAGGATGAGGAGGAGGAGGAGATGGTGGACGCAATGCCGACATTGTTGCGGATGTCGGTGAGCTTCCATTGCCCTTCTCTTCTCTCTCTCTGACGCAGGGAGAGAGAAGGGGGAAGAGTAAAGGGAAAGTGGGAGAGAGAGCGAACGAGGTTGTTAGCTCTCTCTCTCTCTCTCTCTTTGTTGGGTTGTTTGAAAACGTATGGCTTTGAAATCAAAACGAGAGCTTTAGAGAGACAGAACAGTGAACAGTCACAGTTGATCATGTGCTGATTTTTTCCCCCCTTTTTTTTTTTCTTGCATTTTGCCCGTTTCACTCTCTGCCCTTTGCGGAGCGTAAATTCTGGGGATGTTTCTTTATTGCCGTTTGTCTTGTTTTGGTGCGGAATGAGGACATTTGAGTGGGCCCGTAACGGTCGTTGAGAAGGAAGAACGGGTGGAGTTTTGGAGGGCTCCGACCGTTGACTCCGGTAAGAAATCGGCCGTCCATCAAGTTCGGCCGTGATAAACGCTTGGTCTCGTCATTGCCTTGTTGTAGGCTACGACAACTTGTAGCTGCATTTCCGTAACCACCCAGTCCGACGAGAGCAAGGAATGATCGTTGGGATCAAAGGGCTCAGACAAAGAGCGATTCTGGGCAAGCTTTTAGGATGGCGAATAAAACATGAATAAATCGCATTGCACACCAAATAAGGAAAAATCGTGCATTGTCGACTACGACAACTTGTTGTGGTGTTTCCGCAAGACCCGGTCCGATGAGGGTCAGGAGTGGTCGCCGGAGCGGAAGCTAGAAGACTCAGACAAGGAGCGGCTTCGGGCAAACTTTTAGGATGACGAAGGGACAGGAATGAATAAAATTGCATAGGGAAAGCGTGCATGAGATATCTATGTGAAAATTAAAATTAACTTACAAAGACGCCTTTTTGACGTAACAACATACTTTGCTTTGGAATTCCAAAATTAACCATGCTCTAGCCAGAGCATTATTAGGATGGGTGAAAGTACCTACCTATATGCCAACGAACAAAACGGTAAGGTTCGGTATAGGACCGATCAAAACGGACGATGACTCGAACGAGTCAATTCGGGGATATCAAAGTTTCTATCAAACAAATCAGATAGAAGAATTCCCGCTGCTTATACACAGGCTTTTTAAGTCTGATTAGTATTCGGAATATGGCCCGTTTTATCCTTCATAAAGATGTACTTAATACAGGGAATTTTTTCTTGTGGAGATCGACTTGATCCCGGTCAATTCAGATCTACGCAAAGAATGTCCTCCTTATAAAATCCCGGAAATAAAGTAACTTCACCCACCATACGGTGACGGACGGAGCGATGATCTCACTCGAAATGAAACTTTATTTTTTTGGTCCGACGAAATGAAAATTGACTGGGTGTAAATAATCTGACTTCCGTTGTTGATCAAACTGGCCAATCCATCACGGGTAGTTAAGCATTGCAACTCTGCTTACGTGTACGGTGAGTCGCCGCTGCGGGGGGGGCCATCATCATCGTTCAAGTGCTCAAATCTCCTCTTGAAGCAAAAGCAGGCTCAAATCACGCCGGTGCGGTGCGGCGCGGCGCAGCGCAGAGTGTCCTGGAGCTCGAGCGGTTGTGGGCGCGAGGCAATTCTGTCGGTGCCACCTGGTACTTCCACGTGTCCGAGCACGCTTCCCGCGCTCGTGAGACCCTCACCTAAACTTCGATCTGCGGGGGGGGGCAGATCATGAGCCAGGCCCGAAATGGGGCTGACGTGTCGACGCGATTGGTTTTTTTTCCCTCGACAATGCTCGACCCCGAAGTTGCGGTGGAGCTGGCGTGTTTCCTGGCCGACACTCCGGTTCGACTGTGGAATCTCTGAGCCGAGTAAAAGAGTACACGGACCGATTCGAACCGTTTCTTTTCCTCCGGTCCAATTACCGTTGTCTTTTCACATGCGAAGTCCCATCCGCTCCATGGGCATAGGAACGGGGTGAAGTTCGCGTTCTGCGATTTTCTTTTTTGGGTGAAGAGGGTGGGCGATGAGCACGGCCACTGCTTTGCTTCGAAGCATTACTATTTTCCCACGTTCGGTCTCGACTACACAATTCACCTGTAAAGATAAGAGCCCGTCAACGCGGTCGTGTTGGTACGTTTGAATTCGTGAAGTCTCCCCGCGTTTGATAGTCAAAAACCGACCATAATTTCGCTCGAGCATGACTCAAAACTATAATATCATGGAAAACGATGCGAAGCCTTCATTTATAGCCATAACTATACTTTGAGATCATGGGTCTCTTATATCTCGGTAAAGCATAATGTGGATCGTTATAAAAGAAAGGGGCCTTAGTATGTATGCTAGACCGACTCTTCGGAAAATTACACGGATTTGCGTTTTGATTTGGTGGCAATTTGTCAATATAAGCCATTTCATCTTCCATCTGCGTTGCTGGATTTTATTTTCTTTATTTTATTTTCCTTTTGTGGGTAAAATATGTAAAATATGACAGTAAAGATTCCGAAGGGAGACAATTGTCGTGATTGAAAGCGAAGTTTTGCATCGCTGCATTTGAATTCGAAATGACTTTGGCGAGACACGAAACCAGCTGCTTTCGATTGAAGTGGCCAGCCCCTTTGGACATGGACCAAATGCTCCGTACCCCCCCATAGAGATTCTTCCCAGCAGACAAGAATCGGCCGTAATAATTGAGCTCGCGAGGGCCCATGTTCTTGTAGCAAGTAATTATTATATGGACTCCTCGAAATTTTAAGGAGGAAAGCAAAGAAAAGAAACAGAAATCACAAGGTAATAATTGTTATCGATACGTGAAAGCGATACACGACGTACTTACGATGGACCTATTGTGTAATCGGCGCGGTTGCAATCGAACTTCTTGGAGTTAGATCGGGTGGGCACCATACCCGGGCTCGCGGGATCTCGAAGCTGCAGTGCTTTCGGCTCACTACGCTGCGCTCGGTGCATCCAAGAATTTTTCTAGTACCTCGGGACCCTTGTTCTCTTCAAAATAGGTTTTTTTTTTCCTTCTTTGAATTTTTTTTTTTTTTACATTTTTGGGCTTTTGCTCTATTTTTCTCTGTAGAGTTGAAAGGAAAGCGGCAACGATTTTGGGCCGACTTGGTATTGGGCCGTGGAGTGCAATTGATTGTTAACACGGGCCCAAACTTTCGCCAGTCAAAATGACAGCTATCGATGATCTGGGAAGTAGGCAGGCCCCACACTTATCCGAAGTCGCTCCACAGATTTGACTGTTTTTTTTTTTTTTTTTCAATTTTTTTGTCATGATTTTTTTTTGTTTTAATTGAATGGCGATGTATTGCACTCTTTATTTTGTCAAGGAACAACTCATATGTTATTTCCATTAACTTTATCCACCGCGTTAAATATATTATTTTTTATTTTGCCTCGCATTTGAGTGATAAATATTTTTCAGTTCGACTTGGAAGTCATCTCCTTCACAAAACTCCTTCGACGGTACAAATATCCATGTCGAGAACGCCAACTAAAGTTAGTTGACTGGATATTGCTAGAATGTTTGCATGATGATTACGGAACCTCTCGTATTTTCAGTTGTTATCTAACGTATTGTTAGATGATAGAATATTTAGTCTTTGTTCGTTCGAGTATCCATAAAGTAAATATAACACATACATAGTAAGATATAGGAAAATGATGCTAATTGAGAGTGAATCTTTGTTGCTGAACAAAGAAATTGAGGCAGTTGCTATATCGCGTAATGTCGTGTTAAATCAAAAGTGGAAAATGGCACAAATGGTCTATAAATTTTGACCCAATAATCCTCGAACTTTTAATTTATTCAGTGCGATTTTCAAATTTTGAATTTGTTCGATGCAGTCTCTAAATTTTTTATACATATTCAATATAATTCATAAATTATATGAAAATATTCAATATTATCTTTGAACTTGAAAGAATAAAATGACGATATTAAATATTTTAATATAATTTAAAAATTATATTAAATATATACTAAAAGTCTAGAGATTATTGATCATATCGATCATTGTGTCAAAAGTATATGCGACGTCATCTCAATCTAAAAAGTACGGTCCTATCCGGATCGGATTCGTCAACCGGGCCGGGGAAACGGGTCCCCCGACCCGACGTGGCAAGTGCCCCGGCGTTTCCGCAGTTCGCTAGCCGCCGATGATCAGAGATCATGATCATTTTCATCGCGAGATTCCTGTCCCTATTTCGCTCTCGCAGTTTCATCTACGGCAATCTCCCGCTCTCTCTCTCTCTCTCTCCTCCGCTCCGATGGCCGCAGCTGCAGCCGCGACTCTTCTGAACCACCCCTCCGGCCGCGCGGTTCCGTTCGCGCCTCCGTCTCTTCCTCACCGGAGAATCCGCTCCTCTCGTCTCCGCGACGATCGCTCCTTCAGCCTCGACCTCCGGCTCCGCCGGAGGCAGTTCAAGGTGCCTCCGGCGGCGAACAAGCAACTGCCGGAGTTGAGAACGAACGAACCAGGTCCCTGTGCTCGATATACTACTTCTAGTGAACGTTGCTGTTTACCCGTTTCTCCTTTTTTTTTGTTAAGTAGTTCAGATGTTCCGCCTGAAGCAGGGAGTGAGGATTCGCCGTCTTCGAGCGGCGATAGCGGCGGAGGCCTCGATTTGGGATGGCTTCCCGCTTTTCCTCACGTGCTGATTGCTTCCATGTCCAATTTCCTGTTCGGTTACCACATTGGGTGAGTCTCTGTTGTTCTGTCTTCCTCTTATTTGTCTGAGGCAATGAGCAAAAGGAATTTGGGAACATGATCCTAAAATCATGTTGTGTACTGGACATAGTTGATTACTTCAGAAGTCTTATGGTTTAAGCAGTCTTGTAATGTCAGATTTGCGGGAAGAGGTTCATTTGGAAAGTCTGTTTTGTTGTTGCTTTCTGTTTAAATTTATATTCTGTGGGGTTGATAATCTAGTATACTCATTTGATTTTGACTGTCATCACTGAGAACAAAGGCTTAAGAAGAACTTTTCTGAGACCTGCCTATTCTGGTTCTACTAGTGACAAGCTTGGCAGTGTTAACATCTCATTTTCATCGTGATGCTATATATGTTTAATTTGTTGTTTTTATTTTAGCAAGCTCTGGCTTTACTGTGACAATGCATGGAAATTGCTGCTGAAATGCAAACTGCATTTGTGGAACATGAGCAGATATGCAACTGAGGCTAATTTATGGTTCCACTGCAATCGCACGCGGAAAATTTAGTTACTCAATAGAAAGCCTGATCCCCAGCTTAAGATCAGGCATTAGGGAGCCAGTTTGCTGTTAAAATTGGAGTTGACGCAGTGAGGAGAATGAACTATATTCATTTGGAGATTCAGCTGTGAAAGCTGAAACTTGAAGTCAAGCGATGAACTTCCTTATATGTAAGTGCAAAGGAAGGTGGTCACTTTAATCTTTGAGGACTGAATCCCCCCGCGGCTATTTCTTTGTCAGTATGTTGGTGAGTTATTTTGAGGGATGCTTGGCGGGGTTGTCCATATAAATTACAGTTGTCTAATCATGCTGATATTTTGAGATTATATAGGGAATGCATGATGTCTTTCAGCACAAGCAATAATGAAATGACTATTTGAGACGCCTACATTTTTTGTAGTTTTGATGTTGAGAATGGTTATAGGTGCTGTCTAGAGAATCCTCAATCGAGCAATTATAGCATCTGTACGCTGAACTCTTCTTAATGGTTAATACCGTTATGATCATCTATTTGGTGTTCCATCTTCACAATGTTTCAGTGTCTTCTCTGCAGCGTAATGAATGGACCCGTAGTCTCCATCGCAAAGGAGCTTGGTTTTGAAGGCAACTCAATCCTTGAGGGACTTGTAGTAAGCATATTTATAGCCGGTGCTTTTATCGGAAGTATAAGCTGTGGTTCACTGGTAGATAGGCTCGGTTGTCGGCGCACATTCCAAATAGATACGGTACCACTCATTCTTGGTGCAATCGTGAGGTAATCCTTTAGTGTACTCCTGTAGCTATGACAATAAATGAGTGCTCCATCAGCTGAAATGATATGCTGAGAAAAATTTCAGCATACTCCTTCAACCAGATAATAGTTACATATCTGTCTTATAATCTGGCCTCACATTGTTAGGCAGGCTTTGGTTCTCACTTTCAGAAAAAAAAATTATGCAGTGTTGAACAACTTTGCAAATACCAACAGTAATGTATTTTTGTTAACCAGATGAAATCTCATAAGAATTGATTTCAGCAATGACAAATTCAATTAACTATTTGGTTCGGCAGTTATTAATTTATTACTGTAAGGCAACGTGTTAGAGAGGCTCAGTCTGGCTTTCTCAATCTACTCACTCTTGAAGAGGAACTTTGATATTGTCGTTTCATGATGCAACTACTGAATCTCGTTGTTAATACTTTTACCTGTTTTTATTGCAAAAAGTACTCTAGTTGGAGGTAGAGGTTGAGGAATAATATCTCTATAAACAGCTGCTTCAAATCTTTCATTGTTTCTCATGTTTGCATCATGTTATCGTTTACTCGTCATGGACTGTTCCAAAATATGCTGACCACAAGCTGCCGATTGTGTACATTCCAGTTGTACAGTGATGCATCGTATCTTCATTTCTTTAATGTAATAACCACTGGTTAGCAGTTTTGGTAGATGCCAATGATCAACTATTCTTTTGGGCAAACCATAGATAAAGCTTCCTCCAGTTTTCTGACCCACTTCACTCACAGAAATGATTCTCAACTTAAGTAGAAGTGTTGTTGGACACCTTGTATGATATTACTCATCATACTAGGCATAGATGCCCCTCCCTCGCAAGTAACGCACACATACATAAAAAAAAAGTAGAAGGAAGAGGAAACCCGACCAAGGGGTTTCATTCATTTGTGAGGATCTGACTCTGCAGCTTTTGTTACAGTGCACATGCCAACTCATTGGATGAAATACTTTTGGGGAGATTTTTGGTAGGCCTCGGTATTGGCGTGAATACTGTTCTTGTTCCAATTTATATTTCAGAGGTACCTTTTTGTCCTTCGTATTGAATGGAATAGATAATTTGCTTATTTGTTTTTAATAGGAGTTGTGACCGAAGCATAATTTTAAGCTTAGAAACAATCTCAAATTTGCAGTGTTAATTCTCAGAAGTTCTGGCTGGTAAAATGATTGGTCAGAGTTGTAGTGGAGTGCAGATAATAAGATTTTTTCAGTGAGTTTTAGGGCACATAATGTGCTTAAAGTTTCCACTGGTTTCACTATACGGGTATTCTTGCAATTTTATTTGTCCTGTGAGGACTGGACTTTGATTTACCTGGATGGCAATTTTCTTCATCTTAGTGAGAAAACTTTGTGTTAAGGAGTTAGTTAACTGGAGTCAATGCTGCCTTTCAGGTCAAGCTTCTAGGAGAATGCTAATTTCCTTTTCTTGTGCATTTTGATCGACACATGAAAGAACAGTCTCCCATTCCATATATTATCAAATCTGTGCATTGTCGTGTTGTAGCATCATTCTTTTCCTGAAAGTAAATGCTCGTTTTGTAGGTTGCTCCTACGAAATATAGGGGTTCCCTTGGAACAATGTGTCAAATAGGTACCTGCCTTGGAATCATTGCTTCATTGTGTCTGGGAATTCCATCGGCAGATGATCCGCATTGGTATCTGTTCTTCTTCTTCTTCTTCTTTTCTTCATTTTTTTTTGGGGGGGGTGGGGTGATGTGATTGGCATTTGTGATTTTTTGGATCTCGAACCCATAATAGATTCCACAGCTTTTTACTTGTTTTCACATTTCTCTTTCTGTTACATTTGATGCATCATGAAATGGGAGGAGGGGCTTGGCACAGTGAATGAGGAAAAAAGTCATATTTGGAAACGTTAATGATTTATTGAAAATGTTAAATGGTGAATTAACAGATAGCCATCTTGTCCTCTTCTGTCGTATTGCTGTCATCCATCTTTAAAGATAATACAGGGGTTTTGATCTCAGTGGATAGTTACTGATAAATGTTACTCTTCTGAAATTCATATGCTCAGGTGGAGGACAATGCTGTATATTGCCAGTGTCCCTGGTTTTATAATTACACTTGGTATGCAGTTTGCTGTTGATAGCCCCCGTTGGCTTTGCAAAGTAAGATGCCGGTTTTGTTCTGATCCGTATATTTGTGTGATGTTTGATTTTTTTCTCACAACATTTGTATTCAAATATGTGCATAGGTGGGGAAAGTGGGCGATGCTAGAGAAGTTATTTCTAATCTATGGGGTGCATCTGAGGTTGATAAAGCAATTGAAGAATTTCAGTCTGTTATTAAGAGTGATGGAAGTGAAGTAGACAGCAAATGGTTGGAACTCCTTGAGGAGCCACATTTAAGAGGTTGTGTCAAGGTGCCTTTTGGATTTAAACGACTCTGGATATCTTTATTGGTAGTGTTATCTGAAAGTGATGTGAAACTTACAGTTATTTGTTTTGGCACATGAGGACTATTTAAAACACCTAATATCAGATTGTTGGCATATCTTAGAAGGTGGCTTGAGGATTATGGGAATCCCAAGCCATAATTAGTTACTCCTCCCGGAAATGAACGGGTTGTTATTAAGTAGGAATTCTGTGTTTGTCTGCGTTCAAATCGATCTTACGGAATTTTTCAAACTAGTAGATGTGATTTCCATTATATTTAATGAGCTTTTCCAATATTCTTGTCTCACATGTGAAAGTTTGTTTTTTTCTTTTTTATTGAATTATGGTTGTTAAGAGCATAAACTTGCGAGATCATGTGGAGAATTTTCAGTTTTTCGATCAGTCTCAGGTGCAAAACAAGATGTGGATATATGATTCGGGGGGAAGTAAGGTTGGCAGCAGAAATTCCAGATGATTATGTCATTGAAACTGCTCTCATCTTTTGGTTGCAGTTGCATGTATTGGAGGTGCCCTTTTCGTACTACAACAATTTGCTGGCATAAATGGAGTTCTTTACTTCTCATCCTTGACTTTCCAAGATGTTGGTATCACAAGTGGCGCTTTAGCAAGTTTGTTAGTTGGATTGACGAATTTTGCAGGTTTTGAACCTGATATCTACTTTTACTTTTCATGGGCCTGTTAATGCAACTCTTAATGTGGTAAAATGCTTACCCAATTTTTACAGGTGCTCTCTGTGCACTGTACATGATGGACAAGCAGGGGAGAAAAAGACTTTTAGTTGGAAGCTACATAGGAATGGTGAGAAAGGAGTGGAATAGGATTTTATTTTTTTTGTCGTACAGGAACACATAAGTTTCACTTGTTCTAATACTTGCATTTTAACTCTCCTGAGTTATGTAAATGAGTTTAGGACGCATCAGGTGTATTGACATTGGCTTGTAAATCATTAAACAGGCAGCGGCGATGTTTCTGGTAGTCTATGCTGTCAGTTTTCCGCTAGATGAAGATCTCAGCCACTCTCTATCAATTCTAGGGACCCTTATGTAAGTATATGGTTCTCCTCCAATGCAACAATGAAATATTAATGCCTTTATGTCAAAATCCTGTTGGGCACTGTCTTGTATGCAATTCATGTGTGAAGCCAGCGGATCTTCCACTTTGACTCAGGTACATATTTGCTTTTGCCATTGGTGCTGGGCCTGTAACCGGTATCATCATACCAGAACTAAGCAGCACAAGAATGCGTGGGAAGATCATGGGATTCAGCTTTTCTGTTCATTGGGTATGCATCTTGTGATTTCCCTGAAAAGGGAATAATTAAAGTTCTGATTCTTCATTCACCATTCTTGCATGCCTTCATTCTCCTGCTTTATCTGATGGCACAACTTTGGTTTCCGATAGGTTTGCAACTTCTTGGTTGGTCTCTTCTTCCTTGAACTTACTGAGACTTATGGGGTTAATTCAGTCTATGGTGGCTTCGGTGGCGTTTCCTTGTTATCTGCGATATTTGCTTATTATTTCATAGTAGAAACAAAAGGAAGGTCACTCGAAGAAATAGAGATGTCTCTAAATCCCAACTTGCCAGGTAGAAAAAGGGACAACTAATCATATATCTTGAACTCGAGGTTTGCTGATGAGGCGGGAAGCTCAATCAATGATGCTAAATGGACTTTGCAAAAGGGTTCATGTTTTCATGGTTAATCTTGCAGCCAAGGCTTCACCTCCAAAGTACAAGCTAACTGGTTACTCATCAAGGTGGAGGTAGAGGATACTCACGGTTTCTATTTAATGTGTTGAGTGAATGCTGTTCCAACAATGACTTTGGATACGAAAGTGGCAGAAGTTGACAGCCCACCTGGATGATCTTGAATTTGCGCTCTTTAGAGATATTCGCCAGAAAATGAAAGGTGTACCCCGTCAGTACTATGTCAACAGATGAGATGACAAGAATGCTTTGGCAATGTTCAAGGAGAATCTTCCATTAAGTTTTGTTCTTTGTTTTTCGGCCCAAGAATTTTCCAGTAAGTCGCTATAGTTTAGCCATCAAGTAGATTTTGAGTTTCCATTTTGCACAAACTGTTGTAAGCATACGTGTGTTTGTATGTGCAAAATAAAGTAAAGTTGTTCGACAAACCTGAAATGAGTGATCCGAATTTGACGATTGATCCGAGCCCAACGAATTGACGTTGTGTCCTTAAGACAATTTGTCCCCTCTACCGGTACCTAAAGGTTGTTGAACAATTGCCTCCTAGGATAGAATGGATCGCCTTTCCTATGAAGCGGTACTTCTTCAAAGGAAATCTTCGAACGTAACTTCGCAGAATAATCGCACAAAATGACAATGATGAAGAATGAGAAAAAATGAAAATGTCTAGAGTGCGTCGGGAAAATGTCTCGCGGGAATATAAGTGCCACGAAGGGTCACACGACCGAACTAAACTGTTCGGTTATATAAATGGCGAAAATGAAGAGTTGCGAGTAATGAAGACTCGCTTGCGGTTCCCGTTCGGTTCGTGAACAGTCGCGAAGGCTCACTCGAACCGAAACGGTTTTCGTTCGGGCGAACCGAACCTCACGAACAGACATGTTTGTTTGTCCAAAAACTAAATAAATTAATTAATTTCTAACAAAACGTGTCTATTCGGAAAAAATAAAAAATTGATAAAGAATGGAGCCGAGCTGAACAGACGGTGGCGTAGGTCCTCTCTCTTCCACAAAAGTGGGGTACCCCTTGGGGCCTAAACCCATTTAAGAGGCTCCTCAAAATAAACCATCTCCCATCACCTCTTCTATCCTATGTTGGACACTTTCATCCACACACTTCTCATTCAATTCTATGGGATTTGGATGCCAAAATCCCAACATCGTTATAGCTCTAATCCTTGTAAGGGTGGACACCTTTCAAATGCGGGAAGATTGCCGGGACCTACTGTTTATAATTAGAAGTTATTGAATAGTTTATAGATATGTGAGGCAATACCATCTATAGCGGTAATAATGTGGGTGTCAATGTACGCTCCCATGATCATCTATCCAGATGACAGACCAAACAACGCCTTTTCATTCATAACATGTCACGATTTTAGATTCACTCGAGTCTGAGCTAGTATTGCTTTATGATATGAATCATCTACAGGAACTGGTGTATTCACCATCATCTTCATGGAAAAGATTCTTCGGTAACAAACTGACCCTGAAAAATCAGTCTTTTGGACGGTGGGCTTTGGGAGCCATCCCAAGTCATTCCAAATTCCAGGTCATTTTTACAGAATGGACTGTGACTTTCACTTTCTCTGCCAACATGTTTATTCCCCACTTGCTTGAGTTGAGACGACCTTTTTTCTTTTCCCGGAATGAAACTTTGGCACTTTATGGAATCTCGAAACCTTAGTAGTTTCCCTTTTCAGTAGATGATGAAAATTGCTATACTTAACAATGACGTGAGTATAACATTGAAGGGCAGATTATGTTGCTTGGAATCTAGGGTCAATGACCACATTTGGTTAGATAACGGTTCGTTTGTTTCCCCCTTATACCCACTCCCCTCGCCCCGTCCCCCCAACATTTATCCATTCTTGGGTTCTTTTAATAGCTGATCAAATCAAAAGAGTGGAGGGAGGGAGCTCACATTATCACCGTTTTGGGTCTAAAAGATGTGTTAAATCTGACGGGTTGCAATCAAAATCGAGTCGAGCTTACATAAGTTTGGCAAAGGTTCAATTCAACATATGTATAGTTGGGTTTTGTTGTAGCTAAGCGCGGTTATGTTGCTTGGGTTTCGCAATGGATGCAAGAAAGAAACTGAAAATCTGTTCGGATTATATATACATATAAATGAGTAATCTTGCTTGGCCTTTTAACTCAACTGATCTTCTTGGATATACGAAATAAGTCTTGTCCGGGAATATCGAACAAGGTTGAGGTTCCATTTACAATGTAGTGGGCGTCACCGTCAGGGTTAATCTGAAAGAGAGATGTGATTTGAATAAGGGATTCGTCGGTTTCAAACAAAGTATATAGCCATTTAACCAACCCATCTGCTTTGTATGACCTTGCATGTGGTGTAAGGTCTTCTATAATTTCCGTCCAAAAAAAGATATGTGCAAAGTATTTTCTTTTCCATCACAAATCAGCCCAAAGAAATTAAAACAAGAAAAACCCTACAAAAATTAGGGGGATGGGGGATTCTCTCGTAAGAAAAAAGGAGAGCAAAACGCAGCGACATTTGAAATCGGGGAGTCGTTTTAGCGGGAAACATTTGTAGCAGCGGCAGCAGCGAAGCCTGGATCGGTCGAGAGAGCTCACGAAGCAGATTTAGCGGCCGCACGTGCGAACTCTCCCTTTCGTTTTTATTTTTTTTTGGACTTTAACCCTGGGCCAAGCCCGGAACTACCCTCTCTGGACGCGCCAATTTACGACACTGCCATCCCTTTTTCACGTGCTTCGAAAGCAGCCTCACCTCTCTGCACAACCTTGCAGTTGCCCGGCATATATTCCTCCTCCCCCCCCCCCAATTGCACTGCTGCTCCCTTTAAGAAAAAAAAAGAAAAAACAGAATTTATTAAAAAAAAGAAAAGGAAAAAGAAAATGGAAACGAAACTCGTGGTACGGTAGCAGTAGTAATTGTGGCGGCACAAGCCCTTTTCGCCTCATTTAATTCTCAACAAACTCTATAGGAGAAATTACATGGTGTTGTCATTTTGACCGACCTATTGATCGCTAACCACGTAGCGCATAGGTTACGTTTGGTAATCTGGATAAAAAAAAAACCGGATACTTATCCTATTCGTAATCAATAAATCTAGATAGAATTTAAGATACTAGTTCGAGCTGTCATTTTCACTCGGCAGTGGGACTCCCTCCCTTCCTCCCCTTGACTCGATGCTCGAGACCATGACCAAGTTAATGGCTCGAGGATGAAGGCCAAGCGGTTGTCGTCCTCGCCGCAATGGCAATTGCAACTATTGTTGTTCTGTAGCTCGGTATTCGTTTTTGAAAAATATCTCATGTCGCCGTTTCGGCTTTACCTACTTTAAACTGGATCTCACCCCATACCTCGAATATATTAGCAAATAGTATGGGTGTCAGAACCGAACCGAGATACGAATCGAACCGAAAATTTTGTGCATTTCGATTCAGTTCGGTTTTCGGTTCGGATAATCACAGCTAACCATTATTTTTTTTCAATTCGGTTTATTTCGATTCGGTTTGGATCGAACCGAACTCCGAACCGAACTGAAAATAACCTTTCGTTTACCCTAAAGCTAAAAGGGCTAAAACTAAAATCAGAATGGACCGTCATTTCTCTCTCTAACGCATCTCTTTTATCGTCTCCTTCTCACTCTATTTCTATTTCTAAAACTCTCTTCTTCCTCGGCTGTCACTCGAATCCTCCATTTTCTTTTGCTTGCTCATCTTTATCACCTCGTCCTGGTGAGCCACGTCCTTCACTTGCTTCGTTTGATTGGTGATTACAAGAGACCGAAAGAAAAAAAAACACATATGGTATTTTGATCAAGCAGCAACAGAACTTCAACGAAAGTGAAACATGAAACCCACGAAAGGGGAGAAGGAAAAGGAAGGGAATTTCTACTATTTCTCGACCCAAGGTTGAGCTCTGCAAAATCGGTGCCATTCTTGAACTCCTGAAGAAGAAACCCTCTCGTTCCTCCTCTCTCTCTCTTCTGTGAGAAATTTTCCAGCTCTAATTGATAGATTGAGCTCTGCAACAGCACGGCCCTCGCAGAATCGGAGCAAAGGACGGAGCTCCTGGCACATCGTGTTTGGAATCGCCGGCTCGGCCAAGCTCTGGGAACAGAAGAAACCGAGCCGTGAATAAAAAGCAAAAAAAAAAAGAAACCGAACCGAACTGATTTTTCGGTTCGGTTCATAATCGGTTCAAGCGAAATTTGGTTCGGTTCAAGAATGCACCCTTAATGGTTCGGTTCGGTTCGGTAACTGATAACTGCGTTTGATACTAGCCAGTGTGGCAAACCGTTATCGGTGTCGACTACGACCCCACTTATCCAAATGCCCCGGCTAAAGTTTGTCACAACAATTTTTTGATACTTCCATTTTGTAAGTCACTTTTGGGTATATATATTGCGGAGGCTGCAATTACTTTGGACCGCCCACCCAAAGAGAGCCCCCCTCTTTCCCCCTCTTTACCAACCTCACCAACTCCTATGAACTGTGCAATTCAATTTGTTCGGCACAATCTCTGCAATGTGTCGTTCATTACTCCCTCTCATTTCATTTTTCATTCTTATCATCCGTGATATGAAGTGGTAGGATAAAGTCACCCGGACAAACGGGGCCCCGCTCCGATTCTCCAAACTTGCCGATTCATCGATTCTCTTAAAAACGAAAAGGATGGGCAAAGTTTTGCCCATTTGGCGGGCCAACCCGGACGGCGTACGGCGGTCCGCACGCCAGAGGCTCCGAAGATTTTGAGATTTGACAGAAAATTACATCATGGGACTCTAAAGGTGACGATTATTATTGTCCACGGAAGAAGGTTTTTTCCTCCGTCTCTTCTTTTTCCCCCCCTCCTCCGACATGGAATCACTCCCCTAGTTTTACTGTAGCGCGACACGAGGGATTGTCCTAGAATACCCCCCTTATCGAGGCATGGCTTGCCCGCCCCGGACCTCTTTTTTCGTCCGAACGGATCTTATGTTATTCGCTTCGTGTTATATCTCAATGAATGAAGCCTCTTTATCGTCTAAATAAACTCTCCCGAAGCTCGTCGCGATCCTCGTTTCGACAAGTGGGCATCCGATTTGGCTCGGACGCACGCGAGATTATTTTATTATCATTGGCTAATGATGATAATGGGTAACGAACTCGACGGGGTCCATGGACCATCAGAAAATGCAAAAGGTCACAAGGGTGGTGGTGGTGGTGGAGCCGCGCGTTCTTCCATATTGACCAAGGCGACATGCCCACGCGTGCATTTTCTTTTTTTGGCGCAGTTCATTTCGAACTCCCGACTTTCGTCCCCAAGCACTAGTCAAACTGCTCTACGAAGACAACACTACCACCGTCATACTCATACCAAGTTAGACCCCCAAATAAACAAATAAATAAAATAAAATAAAAACTCAATCTGGAAACTTCCAAACGGGGGGGCACGCATCGAGATTAATTTAATAAATTAATTCCACCTCTGTCCTAATCACCAAAAAAGAAAAAAAAAAGGAGGAAGCATGTCATGTCATCCTTCCAAGTCCCAAGAAAGGAATAATCTCGCCCCCCCCATCAATTAACGTGCGGCGTACTTAAACTAATAAAAAATATCCAACATCATCAAAATCTAATCTAATCTAATCTAATCTAATCCTCTTCTGCTTTGCTGCTGCGGCGACATAGCAGCAGTGGGGCCCGGATGGCTATCTCGTAAATATCGGTGCGGGACAGGGGCAAATCCCTCCTCCGGGCTCTAACCGCAGATTTCCCCCAAAAAGAAAAATATTATAGAGAGAGAGAGAAGCGTAAGAGTATCTGCGGAAGAAACTGCACCCCCCCAAGGAGAGAGAGAGAGAGAGAGAAGCCTTGCTTCGCTTCGCTTCGCTTTGCATATTTTTCTTTTCAAACTCCTTTCCCAACTTTTTATCTGGTTGCTTTGCTTTGCTTTTTCCCTTCCTTCCTTCCTTCCTCCTCCTCCTCTTCCTTCATCTTCTTCTCCATCTCTCCTTTTGGCTCTTCGCTTTTTCCGTGTGGATGTGAGCGTGCGCGCGTGGAAGCAGAAGTGCAGAAGCGGGGACGTGGAGCTTTTGGGAGGAGAGGAGAAATGGCGGACATAGCCCACCCTCCGATGGACCAGCTGCAGGACCTCGAGTACTGCATCGACTCCAACCCTCCCTGGGGTACGCCCCCCCGCCCCTCCCATCTCTCTCTCTCTTCCGCGTATCTGTCCCCTCCGATCATCGCCGTGTCGCGTCGTGTCGCGGAATGGCGGTCCCGCCGTCGAAGCGCTGGCGGTGCCGTCGAGCGCGCGCGCGGGGGCGGGGGAGAGAGCGGTTCCGTTTGCGTGTGTTGAGGTGGTTCTCGAGGCGAAATCTGTGCTCGGGGAGACGCGGCGTTCTTGTGCATGCTAGGATTAGCTTGTTCCGTGCTGCGTGTCGTGTGGTTGTTCGAATGATCGTGGCGTGTGCGCGCGGGGCTTTGATTACGCGAGCGAGCGGAATCGAGTGACGGTGAGTTGAAGAACTCGAAGAGCGGAGTTACTCGGTATCGGCATTTGCCTTCTCTTCTCCAAATCTCTAGTTTGCCGGAAAATCGCTTGGTTGAAAAAGCTTGATATTGCCAAGCCTGAGTTTCAGATGGCTAGCTTCCAGCTTCTCTGCTTCATCCTTCCGATGTTGCTGGCTTAAAAAGCTCTATGCGGTAGAGTTTTGTTTCGGTCGAAAAGTGGGCGAGGAGAAAGGAGTTCGAGACTGGAGAGTCGCGGTTACTTGCTCAAGAAGTGATTTTGTTGCTCGATCGCCTTTAGGATGTCCTGCATTTCAGCTGATGCAATCTCTTCGCTTGCATGGGAGTGCATTTTCTAGAGTGGACAGTTGCATCTCTACGAGCAGAGAGGCCATGGCTACAGGGGAATGCTTTAAGAAAAATGCAATGAATTAGAGTTATGGATGATCAAGAAAGAGATTTGGACGGCATTTCTCGGTATTCCTTTTAGCAAAAAAAAATCGCGTCTTAGTGGCTTGAGTGATCCAGAGTATCCCTGTGCATTGAATGTGCAATAAAAGGTGGCGGGTTGAGTAGAGAGTAGATTTTTGTAACCTCATTATCCGTGCTTTGCGGCTTGTGTGGAGATAATAGAGGAACCTGCTTGTGATGAATGGGGAATTAGAATTACTCACCTGAACTATAATTACGGATTGCCATGTTCTCTTTTTGTAGCATCGGAATCTATAATCTTTGTCATTTTAACGTGTCCCTTACAATAAGCACATTTGTGCCTCGGTGGCTTTTTACATTAAAGATACATGCTCACATGAGGACATGCTGATGTTAAGCGAGTGTCTGACAAATTTAACCTACTTTGCGTGGAGCATGGAAGAACATTCAATTCATAGTTTGCCTTGGCAATATAAAGTTGATACCTAGTAACTGGCTATCATCTTTTCGTGAATGACTTATGCTGAAAGAATGAGGGCTCCTCTGTTTTATTGTTTTCCCTTTGAATTGTTTAATATTTTTACTTTTTTTTTTTAATTTTCAAAGTTTGTCTTGCAGCTGAAACTATCTTATTGGCGTTTCAGAATTACATTCTGATGCTGGGAACCAGCGCAATGATCCCTTCAATGCTTGTACCAATGATGGGAGGGAGTGATGTAAGCTAATTTCCGCAGAACGACATCTGTTTCCTTGTTAGCTTCTGCCGGACCTTTATAATTTATTTTTTTACTCCTGATAATGCCTTCTCAGCATACACCAGCAAGTTGATTTACTATTTACGGATCCATATGCGATACTCTAGTTTGGAATTTCCTGTATGCAGATATAATTTTTGTCTTCCTTAGTTTGTCTTAAAATTTTGCACCAGTCTGCGGTTCTTTTGTTCATTTTATCTTGTTTGCACGATGTCTTCTAGGAGGACTCGTGAGTAGATTCAATTTTCCCCTTTAAGTAAAATCATTTGCTTTACTATTGATTTTCTACTCTTGTGGCTGGTTTGCATCACCACTAATATTCTGGTCAACTGAACCAGGGTGACAAGGCACGAGTGATACAAACTTTGCTCTTTGTTGCTGGCATTAATACACTTCTCCAGGCACTTTTTGGAACAAGGTTGCCAGCAGTAGTTGGAGGATCCTTTGCGTATGTTGTTCCTATTGTTTACATCATAGGCGACTCAAGACTGCAGAAGATCGATGATTCTCAAGAAGTAAGTTTGCGATTAGTGTATTGGAAATCAATGGGAGTAAATCTATGAAGTTCGAACTTGGTTTCTGGACATAGAAGAACTCTTGCTCAATATTTACATCCGCAATTAAACTACTCGTTCCTGCTTGTTAAAGTATGTCCCCTTGTCTCTGGGGTATCAACGGGCCCTATATTTATCTAGTTTCCTTTAGTATGTTAGCTTAAGCTTTTCGGTTGGACATTCTAACATGGTATCAGTATCACAGCCGAGCTCTACTCAGATTTATTTCGTGTGTGAGGTTCCGCAGTCCACGTGCCGTTCTCAGCTCAGTTCCCACCGTGAGAGCAGTGTTAAAAAGTATATTTTCCATGGCTTGTTTACGGAGTTTCAGGGGGACTTATATCCATGTAGTCTCCCTCCACCTATCTGCTAGTTTTTGGATTGGACATGCTAACACTGCTATCTTTTCGAGTCGCTTCTTTCCTACCTTTCTTGATTTAAAAAGCAATGCATACAATTCTTTGGGCATGGGTATTGGTACTGATGGGTGTACAACTATGTAGTTGTAACCCTCTGTTTAAATCTCTAGGGTAAAATCGTATGCCAGAAGAAAGGATAAAGAGATTCTTACCGGTGCATCAACTAATGATAATAGCTGATATTTATCTGGCTTCTGGATGCCATATCAATTCTTGATGTTAAATTAGACTGTGCTGTGTGTTTCCCATCTTCATGGTTTGCTCCTTGGCAAAGGTTTTGGTTGGTCATTTTTTCACCAGGTTTGACAAAGATCCTCCGCTCTTTCTGGTTTCCAGAGATTTCTGCAAACAATGCGTGCAATCCAAGGAGCTCTCATTGTGGCTTCAAGCATACAAATTGTCTTGGGTTACAGCCAAGTTTGGGGTCTCTTCTCACGGTACAGGGCTGCTACCACAAAGCTAAAAGAAAATTCAACTTCCTTGTACTTGTATTCTAAATAATGCGCTATTCTTTTCAGCTTTTTCAGTCCTCTTGGTATGGCACCCGTTGTGGGATTGGTTGGACTAGGTTTGTTTCAAAGGGGATTTCCCTTGGTAAGTGATAATGCAATACTACGAAATGCATGGCATTGGTACCATTTATGATGAATTAATATAGCATGACAAGCATCGTACTTATGCCTCAATATTTTTTTCACGTTCTTTTCTACTTAAATTCTCCACATACATAGTAAAAAATTTGAGCCCTCCATAACTCTGTGGGAGATTCTTCTTTTGTTATCGTATAAGCGATTCTCCTAAAATATTTTGGTGATTAATCTTTGAGGATCTTATTTTCAGTTGGGCCAGTGTGTGGAAATTGGGATACCCATGCTGCTGATGGTCATCGGAGTGTCACAAGTATGTTGTTTCAGACATTCCTTTGCTCTAAAGCTTATCCATGTCAGTCAATTCTATCCTTGTTAAGTATGGTTGCCTGTATATTGCAGTATCTAAAGCACGTAAGAGTAATGAGAGATGTCCCTATCTTCGAACGATTCCCTGTACTGTTCTGTGTTGCAATCGTCTGGATCTATTCGCTTATCTTGACCGCCAGTGGGGCTTATCGAGATAGGCCCGCCATTACTCAACGAAGTTGCCGTACAGATAGGGCGAACCTTATATCTACTGCGCCATGGTATTTCAACGACTTCACCTCATTTTCTGATTTTTACTGGATTCAATAACTCTATGTTTGATCTCTTACAGGTTTAAGTTCCCTTACCCTCTACAATGGGGGCCGCCAACTTTCTCAGCTGGCCATTCTTTTGCAATGATGTCTTCAGTTCTTGTGTCGATGGTTGAGGTATGTAAGTGATTTCTGTGTGCAACCATTGTACTTGGAAATGAATCATGAGGCAACTCTAAAATGATTTAGGATGTCCCACTCTTGTTATGAAAGTTGGATTCAGTTACATTAATCACAGTTCATAAATTTTGAATGATGCCTCAAGGATTGAAACACGTTGAAAGACTTGCCATGAGGTTTGTTAGTTTAAGGATTTTTCTGTCCTTCTGGAATGGCTTATTAATATTATGGATCATGTCCAGTCCACTGGTGCATACAAGGCAGCTTCTCGGTTGGCAATTGCTACTCCACCTCCGGCTTATGTATTGAGTCGGGGCATTGGCTGGCAGGTAAGTTGGTTTGACACAGCAACAGTAAAACAGTTCTTTCTTGCCTCCTGCCCTGCTAGCTTTTTCGTGCGAACGAGTGAAATATGATTTGAAAAAAGATGAGGTTCAGTACAACAAAGTTTATGCGCTTAATGAATTTATTTTAGAATCTATGGAAGCTGTTATTAGGGTGTTGAAAGACCTACTGTTAAGAGAGTTTATGTACTCTCGGTTACCCCATGCAATTACATACACATTTGTCGGCCACAATCTTTTTGTTGGATTGTCAGCCGCAGTAACCAGTGACACTATAGCATTATGAATATCGTTTCTACTCGGTTCCATACGTGATGTCTTGTGTTCACTGGTTTAATGATGGCAATGCTGATAGAGTGCTTATAGGAATTCAAGAAACTCAAACAGTACTGATAATATTAATCCTGCATTCCTGATTAGTCAGACTATCAAGAACAAATTGCTTGGAAGAAATTGAGGCATGATCCCTGTGGCAGTGTTAATTTATGTAAAAGATAATATGGATTGTAGCTGGCGGTAAACTGGAAATCAGTCCGTATACTTTCCCTGTTATATAGCAATATCGAGTATGATAGATCAATCATTGGAAAGAGTGGATTGATGAATTTAAAGAGATATGAGATAGGTTTATTTACAGAGAGAAGGCCAGAATTTTGCTAGCACCTTCCTGCAGGACATGTTTGAATTTACAAAGATGGAAAACATTTTTATCGGTTCAGAGTGATCTTCTCGGTATTCTGCTTAATCCACTTGAATGCTTAGATTATTAATGTCTTGCTGAGATGTTTTCATTTGGCAGGGGATTGGAATCTTACTAGATGGTCTTTTCGGGACTGGCACTGGCTCTACAGTTTCTGTGTAAGAACGCATGCTCCACCGAGCTATGTTTGTGTCTGTACGGCGATCAGATATGCTTGACGGGGATCTTATGTCATCTATTTCAGAGAGAATGTGGGACTCCTTGGACTAACACGGGTCGGAAGTCGGAGAGTTGTGCAATTATCTGCTGCCTTCATGATATTCTTTTCCATCTTAGGTTGGTATTACTTACTTGAAACTTAGAGAGAATGATTGCATATATGGTGCCATTATTTTGTGCTTGACGCGGCAAAGTCTTATAATAAGAGAGACCTGAGCCTGCAAGAGCTAAATTGGTCTACCATGAGCAAGATTTTCTCATATCGGATCATTGCAGATTCAGTATTTGATACAATATTTCAAATCTGTTTATTTTGGAAAATTGTTTTCAGGAAAATTTGGAGCTGTATTTGCATCCATACCCTTCCCAATATTTGCTGCGTTGTACTGTGTTCTCTTCGGCCTTGTAGGTATGCAGCTAACTTGTGTTTGCCTGCTCGTTCGTCATTTCAGCCAACCAAGATTACTGATAGTTTACTTTTCTCCATATTTCTTTGCAGCTTCTGTGGGATTGTCATTCCTTCAGTTCACAAACATGAATTCTATGAGGAACCTCATCATTACTGGACTCTCGCTCTTTCTCGGGATATCCGTTCCCCAATTCTTCTATGAATATTGGACTCCCACTCGGGAGGGCCTTGTTCACACTAATGCCGGATGGGTAAGTAGCTTCCCGATGACTGGTCATGCTAGGAAGCTCATACTTGACTGCGTTTTTCGAAAGGCTTATGGAAACTAGCTAGACACGGTTTATGATATTGATTAAAGTTCATCTTATTTTTTATGAGTATGGCCTGCCATTGCCGTTCCCTTCACGTTGCAGAAACTTTACATGACTTGGGTTCTTCTGCAGTTCAATGCATTTTTGAATACCATATTCTCGTCCCCGGCCACAGTGGGCTTGATCGTTGCCGTCTTCCTCGACAACACGCTGGAAGTCGAGAAGTCGAAGAAAGACCGGGGGATGCCCTGGTGGGTGAAGTTCAGGACTTTTAGAGGAGACAACAGGAACGAAGAGTTCTACACATTGCCATTCAATTTGAACAGATTTTTCCCTCCCACTTAGAATAAATTGTCCACGTCAGTGTAGGTGCTATTCAGTGTAGGTGCTATTCTTTTCTCATAAATGCATCCAATCCCAATCTAATGTTTGGATACATGCTCTATTTAGGACTTTTCTGTAGGGCCGCTAACTAGATCGACATTTGCAAACGCTAATTCTTCTCACTGAGGATCAGTTCCCAATTTATTTATTTTGCAGCCCATTTTGTAGAATGGTACGAAATTTCATATATTTGTCATCGACATTCCAGAAGTAATAAAAATGCTGGCTCGCTCTCTGTGGTGAACATGTCATGTTCATTCAAAGCATATGAGAGACTTTCTAAGTCCTGATGTGCCTAATTTGCTCCAATTGGAATAGCTATAGAATAGAATTTTGGATTCTATTTTCTTAAGAACATCGTATGATAACATTTCTGTTCCAAAATTTTTTTAATTTTACTGCAGAAAAATACGTTCACAATTAATAACCGCATAAAATTTCTATTCCCGATATAAATAAAATTATTCAACCCTAAAAATTTCTGTTCAGTTTTTTCATTTAGTTATAAAAATGCTAATGGACTATGCTTGTTTTTCTAAAATATGCTTGTTTCTCTTTTTATTCTCGGCAAAAAAAATATTTTTTTTTCCAGGATTTGCTCCGGGAACAAAAGAAATGATACCATTCGCATCCGCACCCTTATTTGCCAAGTCCAAACTTTTTGAAGGTCCTTGTTTATAGCGAGTAAACTCTTATGCAATGGTCCGATCACTCTGAAATTGAGGTTTGCACTAGATTGACATGTTTTTATATCACACAAAGAATACTCTACCGATCTGATTTTTGTGTCCAAAACAAATGAATTGTAAGCAGAAAGCAAATTTTGTTCTTATGAAACTTTTGGATTTACATTATAGAGCTGAGAGTCTACCCAGCACAACCAAAATCATCTTGTATGGAAGCCTCAGATAAACAGCCAGTGTATTGACATCAATGCAAATTCAGCCGGTAATTCCAACAAAAAAACAGAAAATCCTCATTGGCTTCTCGTCCTATCGGTCTATTTCCAAATTTTTGCATAAACCAAAAAGGAAAAAATTTCACAAAAAAGATGTTGAAATAAACCCCCAAAAAAAATAAAAAAATAAAAAGGCAAGCTTTTTTGCTCCAATGTGATCGCCAAAAACGGCTCCGTAGACCACAAACATCAAGGTCCACAGGTTCCTATCAAAGAACGAATCAGATCTCTCTCGGTCCGATCATAGCATCGCCGGTCAATGCCCTTTCCGGCTACCGGCGACGTGGCTCAGACCTTCGAAAAAAGCTCAAGCTTTTCCGAGCAAAGACAAAAGGAAAGGAGCAAAGACAAGAGGTAAGGAGCAAAGAAACCCTCAGAGACCCGTTTCAAATCACCCACGGCCAGCGGGGGGAGGGGGACACCACCGGACCGCCGCCGGCCGCCGCGGCCCCGACCGATCCCGAGAAGATCGGCGGATGGGGACAGGGGCGAGCGACGGCGAGTGAGCCCCGCCGCCCAGCGCTCGCCGTTTTGGAGTGTCATACGGCACTTCCTATCTATTCGGGGTATTCTTCCTCATCGGGGATCTCGAATTTCAGCTACGCAGAAAGGAAACACGAGACTCACCCCTCTTCCTCCGCTTCGCGACGCGCCGTCGTCGTCGCTGAATCGAAGAATGGATCTGCAGATGCAGGAGCAGATGATGCCGAAGCGAGATTTATAGAGGAGCAAGAGCGAAAACCCTAATTCCCAACTTCGCCAGCTGCTGCTTCCAACGTAGCCCCACCGAAGCGGTTCCATTAGATGTGGGCCGGGCCCATTGGATATCAATGGGCCCAAATAAGGGCTGGGCCATTTCTGTGTCGACGGGCCCACCAGAAACCAGCCTTCGATTTTCAATTCAAATTGCCGTCCGAGGAGAGAGAGAGAGAGGGTTGGCGGAGGTGGTGGCGATGGCGATGGGGAGCGAGACGGCGACGACGTGGGTGGGGAAGAAGCCGCTGCGGCGGATCGGCGGCATGTCCGACGCGCTCTCCATCGCTGCCGACCTCGGCTTCTCCATGTCGGCACCTCGTTCTCAGGTCATTCCTCTCTCTCTCTCTCTCCCTCTCTCCGTATCTCTCGCTGTTTCGCTTTCTGCACCTTTCGAATCGATGGGCTTCGCCGTGCTCGTTCTTCGATGTGTTGTGCTCGATCGGTTCTTTTTTCTGGTCAAATTGGTGTCGGTGTTGCTTTTCCTGGCGTGTATAGCTCTAGCTTAGAGTGTGAAATCCGCTTCCTTGGAGAGCAATGCGACGCTTGTCTTTACCAAATGATCAGCTGATCTTATCGGACAAGCTGCATTTGTGATCTACAGTGGTGATGCGAATGGCATTTGAGAACTTCTTAAAGTGAATTGCTTCTTGTTAATTGTTCTGAAATCTAACTCTTCATTCAGAAGCAAGGGTCTCTGTTTGTGGGGACTCTTAGGTCGCGGTTCTTCCTCTGGTTCTTAAGAATTTTGATCATTATATCTTTTTGTGAGCATTTCTGAAATTTTCGGCTTGCGACCTTGAAATTCTTGTCTTATCGGTTGACCTTGGTTAATTGCGGAGTTGGATGTGTCCCCTTGAACTTGAACGCTCCGCTTTTTGTATTATGTATTCTGGTGAAATTGTTGCCTTGGGTTCATTGTGCAAATGTAGTAATTTTTCCCGAATAAACTTGTCTTTGATTATCATGCCGTATCACTCAATCGATGTGTGATTTGCGCAGGAAGAAGTCCAAAACTTGACCTTGAGTAATGGTGAAAAGGGTGATGATTTGATAAGGGTTCTAAGAGAGCTCACTGCGGTGCAAAGAAAAATTGCAGATCTGCAGGTGGAACTTCAGGGTAGAAAGGTGAATTCTTCTGCTTCAATTTACTGGGTTTCTTTTGCTGTGTACAAAAGTGCATCACCAGTTTTGTATGTTCAACAACGATGGATTAGAGTAAACTCACCACAAGCTTTCAAAGGCGTGTGACGTGATTGCCAAAAATATGCTTCTCTGGAAATTATCATTTTGCAGTGAGGGGCTGTGTAGTTATTGACTTTTAAACTCCATTATGGTGAAAATACTTCGCTGTCTGTTGCTTAATGATATAATACATTATGGCTGTGCATTTGTTGAATGCCTCCTCTTGATCGAGTCATGTATAGTAATTAGTGGGTGTATCATGACTGCTTATCAATTAGTAGAATTTAAGTTGAATGTGTGGTAAAAATTGAATAATTCTGGTGCCGTTGCAATCTCTGTATTCTTTTAATCTCGAAGTCCCTGCTCTACTCAGTTGTCATTTGACACACAGTACTTTGAAATTTGTAGGACGATAAAAACGTGGCACACTTGACACATGTAAGCGAGATGGAGAAGAAGATCGAGACTTTGGCAAGGATCACGACAATATTGAAAGATGTTATTCAAAATAAGGTAATTTTTTCTCCTTCTCCCTATTCCTGCATGAACCTCATGAATATTACCTAATGATTGAATTTAACCGTCACATACTGTATAAGTCATAATGTGGTTATTAATTTAATGTCGTCCCATATTTCTGAGTGCCATGAGATGAATAAATGAGTATGTTTATCATATCTTCTGACATAGAAATAATAGCATCGGCGTTAATGGGATGGTTCTGGGGAGTATGTTTTTCTTTCTTGTGAAAAGGAGTTCAAGGTGCATTTACATTCAAATTGTCAGTAAGTCAAAGGAGATCTTTTTGATTTGTATCGAGGGCTTCTCAATCTCAACACGATTCCAAATCCCCATAATTGCTGCTTCTTATGCTTTCCTCTTTATACAGTAGGGGCCTTGCATGGAGTAATGTGATTGAATCCTGTAGAACTAATTGTCGTCGGATGTCAAAGTGTAACAAAACGCCGACTCTTGTGACTTATTACCCGGTTTATGGAAAATTAAGTTTTGTCGATATAATATTGCAGTGCAGGGTTAGACTATTACGAATTAAGAATTGATATCTCTCGGAAGATCTTTCATTTTGTTTTAACTTTTATAGGGCTTTCCTTGCTCTTGTAAGTCTTTAATGACATCATTGTTAAGTTGATCTATTACCAAAAATCTGTTGTTCTTCTCTTAGGATCGCATCATAGCTCGGCTTCAACAACCATATTCCCTTGATTGTATTCCAGTGGAAGCAGAATACCAGGTTAGTTGCTACATCTTTCCCCTATATGTGTAGAGTCAAGTCGTCTATGCTTGTTACTTTGGCAGTCTTGCTACCCATAAAATAATTGCCTGTGTGCAAAAAAGGAAGTTTACATGGATGGAATGTTTTCTCAAGATGGAAACCTTTGTTGTGGCTAAATGGATAAGTTGGCCTGTAATTTAGGCCACTGATCTCAATTAACAGGGATTCTAATATGACTCTCTTAAAGAAAAATTTAATAATTTTTTTTATCTCATCTTTCTTTACCTGAATATTTGATAAATGATAGCCTGGAGCGCAAAAATTAACGAACTTACGCAACTACCTAATAGTGCATTGGACTCTCCGACAACTGCCTTCTAATTAGCTTTGACGTACACAGAAAAGGAAAAAATTCTTTAGAAACTCAGTTTAGTAATTTCGCTTCTGATTGAAGTGGATTTCAGTAAAGGACGTCTTTATTGAAACCTTATCATTTGCTAGCTGACTTGTATGTTGGAGAGTATTCAATTTAGATGTCATCCTTCCAAACGTTATGCCTAAGTGTTAATAAATGCCGCTATTAGAGTCTAATAATCTACCTTGAAAGAAGGACTCAAAGTTTTAGTGCTAAATGCATCCCATTTTTCAGTTTTGTGGTGGCATCCGTACGCAACAATTCTGAAAGAAATTCTAGTTAGTGTGTTTTCCAGACTGTTGTTAGACAATTAATTAAGGCAAGCATGATATTCTGTATATCTTTCGCTCTCACACATCATTAACAAGGATTCATGACCCAAAATCTAGAGAGAGAAAAATTAGATTGGAATGAAGAACGTTGAAAGGTAAAGAGGTGGACGGTATAACACCTCAACGGGAAACAGAGGACAGAACAATGTGAATTGATTTTGAGAAAATAAGATGCATGAACTGCATGACTCAGAAGGTCTCAAAAGCAATGATAATGAAGATTGGTCCCAGGTGCCAGCTGGAGGACATACTGCTACAATTCTAAGGGAGAGGTTACCACAGAGTGATCTAATGTGGATTTTTTTGACAAATAGACTGACTGCTTTGAGTTATAGTTATGCTAATAGCTGATAAAAATTAGAGTGCCAACACCTTGTCAGAAATGGGACTTTTCTGTGGAGGATCGCTCAGTACGTATGTTATTCTGAGAAAGCTAGAAAAAATAGAGGAAAAATCCCTTTGGAAAACAGAAGATGATTAAACTTAATCCTGCTTGTGGAGATATTTAAACTTAGATT